ATGATGAATGTTTGCACAATGAAAAGTCCATTCCCATCGAACTTGATATTTTTTCTTGGTTTTGTTATCTAGTTGAGAAATGGCTAGCTAAAACATTTTTAAACTGTGCAAGAGAATATGACACCTTTAGTAGACATAGTTACGTGATTAAAAAAAATTGGAAACAAATAATTAGACGTATATTTGTGGTGGAAAATTTCTCTAGCTCAAGGTTCAAGCAGGTCGCCAAATACACCATGTATGGACAGTTTCCACAAACATCAGAATGTACAAGGTTAAAGATAAGATATAACTTATCTTGATTTTCTCCATGAAGTACGAAATCGTTCATCAAAACTTATCCTAACTACACATCAGCGCAGATCGAAATTTGAAGCTCAAATATGTCATATCTCACATTGATCTAATAAGGCACTTTTAATACATATTTCTGCTTTTTGCTTAATTTTAAATGCAGGTTTGAAAGCCGTGCACCATGTAATGCATTCTAATAATGGCGATATTAAAATACAATTATAATAACTTATTTACATAGAACACACAGTTACACCAAACAACACTTCACTTAGTCCTACTACATTGTCGCAAAGTATGATTAATGGACATGGAGGATTTGGGAAGAATGCCTTCTTAGTAGTGTCGTTTACGTATGATTTAATTATTGTGTGGGAAATGTAAAAGTTAAACGTGGAGTAATTGGGTAGGGGAGACAAATCGGTTTATAGGATTTTAAGTCTTCATCGACTAAGGTAGTTGAGGCATATATTGCGATTGTGGTGACACCATCTATGCCACTGCAGTGTCAGTTTATTGGTCAGGAGAGGATATGTAAGCACCGGATACCGTTTCGCACAATTTTTCTGACGCGTTTTAGCTTCCTGATTGGAACCAGCAAGACAACTAGATTAAATATAACCCGAAGTAGATTGTTGTGATTGTTACTTATCCATGCCACACCTTACCCAAACTTTGGATGATTATCTTTAGAACGTTTTTTATCTTAAAGTTGTATTTTAGTGAATTAAACATAAAACTAGCAATCTGTGATCATGGGCATTCAAACCCCTCACCCTACCTACCTGCATTTTTGGCATTTAGCAATATGAGATGAATAACTTCGAATATATTTTGCGAAGCAATTCTTATCATGGGTTGATATCAGTTGGAGAAGCATTGAAAAACTGGGAGCCTTGGAAATCCCGAGCAGTGCGCACCCATGACTCCGGGGGGAGGGTCGAGATTTATACCATCATGCCTTACGGTTAGCGTGTTAACACTTGGTCACTGGATGGAAATCCAGTGGGTTACCAATTCCTACTTCTGTCATTTCGCGTTTTACCCCGATCATCATTCAGTAAGCAGATAAATTCTAATAGTTTACTGTATAGGCGTTTTACAATGAAGAGCGAGCGCAACTAAAAAGTAGATTGAGAAAAAGTCTACGCAAAGAGCGTGAACAGTGGTGGGAAGTGAAGGCTAAAGAGATAGATGGAAAAGACAGCAGCGATTGATAATAATAGACAGTTATTTAGACTTATTAAGGAAACTGGGGGAAAAAGGTTAACAACAGTTAGTGAGGCTATAGCGGAGAAGGACGGATCTGCGATTCACTCGTAGGGAGACGACTGGAACGATGGGCAGAACACTTCGAGGAACAGTTTAACTGGCCTCGAACCACCATTCCGTTGACCGCTATCCAGTTGGATCCTGAATGGGACATAGAGATAGGTCCCCCAACACTAGAAGAAGTTGAGAGAGCGGTAGGTAACCTAGAACGAGGAAGGGCAGCAAGATCAGACGGACTACCTGCTGAGGTATAAAATAATGGTGGCGCAGTGCTCTTAGTCAGGTTAGCGGAAGTGTTAACCAGTATTAGGGAATCAAATACGATCCTCTCTAACTGGTCTGAATCACTGATTATCCCAGTCTTCAAGAAAGACGAGAAGTCCTCTTGTTATAACCACAGAGGAATCAGCCTGACGAACATAGTGTCTAAGATCCTAGGTTCTATAATTTCTCGACGTCTGAGTGGAGCTCAGGAACAGCAAGCCCGAGAAAACCAGGCAGGCTTTAGACCCGGCCGCAGGTGTATCGACCAAATATTCACCTTGCGCCAGGTTCTGGAACATAGGCACGCTTACCGATGCCCGACACTGGCTGTATTTCTCGACCTGAAGGTGGCATTTGACTCCGTTGATCGAGAAGTCTTATGGCATTGTCTCTCACTGAAGGGCGTGCCTAGTAAGTACATCACCTTATTGAAAGCTCTCTACTCGAACACTTGTGGGCGTGTTAGAGCCTATGGTGAGATGTGTAGGGAGCTACGCTCATCGAGTAATGTCCTTCAAGGATGCCCACTCTCTCCATTCTCATTCAATTTTATCATGGATATTCTTATGGAGGTTTCCCTCTGGTCACCAAATTACACAGAGGTTGACGTAATCGCGGAAGAATTTTGTTAGACCTAGAATATGCAGATGACATAGTCCTGTTAGTTCTAAGAAGACACTGAAAAGATGCAGAGACTTCTGAACACTTTGAGTGGCAATTTGAGAATGTTTGGGATGCGTTTCTCGCCACCCAAATGGAAATTGTTGTTCCAGGATTGGTCTTCAACGGCGCCCCACCGTGGCTAACAATAGAGAATGTAGTGGTTGTGTCGACCACTTCACTTACCTAGGGAGTAGGATCAGCCCTGGTGGCTCAGTGGCCGATGAGATTTCTGCACGGATACAAAAGGCTCGACTGGCTTTTACTAACTTATTCCATCTGTGGCGCCGCCGTGATATCCGATTGTCTATTAAGGGTTTCGTGTACTGCACAGCAGTCCGGTCTGTTCTACTATATGGCTGTGAAACATGACCACTGAAAGTGAAAGACATGAGAAGGATGGCTTCAGGTGGTTGACCACCGTTGCCTTCGTAGTATAGGCCGTATTCCGTAGTGTCACCATGTGAGTAACGCTGAAGTCAGGCGTAGAGTATTAGGCAGGAGAGGCAAGTCAGTTGACGAGGTTATGAACCTTCGTCGACTGAGATGGTTAGGATATGTGCTACGTATGCCTAATCGCCGATTGCCTCATCACACAATGTTGGCCGAAGTGGGTCCAGGCTGAAAAAAGGCCCGAGGTGGCCAGACTAAAACATGGCATCAGTGTATGAAGTTTTTGACTGTTGGTTTGAGTTATATGGGGCGATACAGATTAGCCGGTTAGGGTCTGCGAGACCGGAGCAAGGAGTGGTTGGAGACTTTAGAGGATATGGCTCAGAATCGAAGTCAGTGGTGCAGATGTATACACATATTATGCTCATCTTAACGACGTTATATCGAACCTCACCATTTTCTCATTCTTCCTTTCTGTCTTCCAGTACTTGATATTTCTTTTGACTTGATTTTCTCTTTTTGATCTTCCACTTCACTACCTTTTTACTTGATGTACTGACATGAGCTGTGGCAACTCGGACCGTTACGTAGTAATGCCTGGTCCTATGTTGAGATTGATGATGATAATAGGCATTTTACTAGCTACATGAAGCAACTTATTTCGTTAAGAGTATTGTGCATGAGATATTACACCTTCTGGAAATAATGATAAACATCATTGAAACAAATCATGTTTACAAACTGTAAGTTAGTTAAAATCAACAGTTATATTGATAAAACGACTTTAGATAATTGTATGAAAGATTGCTTATGGAATCTCGTTGGCTAATTTTTCGTTGAGTTACAAAAACACCTTTGCTTGAATTTGTTCATGCTTATCAATTTTCGTGTCTATATTTTTGTTGGTCTATTGCAGGTCAAGCGATGTCATTACTAGTCAGAGCTTACAATTACACCAGTGATCTGTCATATCTTCAAGCTTGCTGTCGTTCATTGGATTTGTTTAATTTAAGTATAAATACAATGGTGTTCGTTCGTATTTTCTTAATCAGTCAGATCTCATATGGTTCGAAGAGTATCCATTTGATCCGCCTATTCATATATTGAATGGTTTTATTTATTCACTGATAGGCTTATATGATTTTACTCAAGTAAGTGAAAACTTTTTTTTCCTCATATAATTTAAGTCCTTCTCTATGGTGGCATGAACAGCTCTGAAGTCAGATAGTTGGACTGTTTATCAATAAGCATGCTGAAATATGTTCACTACCTTTAGTCTGTGGATATATCTGGTACAAATGGTTATTTCGACTTGAGTTTATTCAAACATTCGGTATGCGGCAGTTGGTGTGCGCTACAAATTCATATATTCTCGTGGCGCCGCCGTGCTTTGATGATATCAAATCAGCTCTTAACGATCATTCTGAATGTTTTTAGACACCAGCTAGCTACACTGATGGGCTTCTATCCTA